TTTTTTATACCAAAGACGCTTTCTAAATGGTTTGGGATTAAAATATGATTTTTTATTATTATAGTTTTTATAGGTTCTACTTTTTCATAATTTGTATTTTCTTGGTCTATTACCTTTGTAGGTTTTATGGGGTATGCAACCACATTGTGGCGGAAAGTCAAGTTGTTTACATGCATCAAAAAATTGTTTCTTAATTTGCTTAGACTTTTTTCGTTGTCAGCACTCCTTTTTTAACATGTCATAGACATGGTTAACTCTATCACCTATTGTTAATCTATCTTTTCGAGGATTTTCTAACCATTTTTCCCAAATCTTAGTTCCTACACTTCCTGGTAATTTCTGAAGATATCTATCAAGTAAGGTTATATCTCCGGTTTTTCCTGTGGCGGGAAAATATTCAAAAAACTTATTAATGTAATCTCTTATGTATCTAAAATCACAAATTTGTAATAACTCTACATTACGTAAGGCTTCATTTTGTTTTATTTGAGTTTCTTCTAATAATCTGTCTTCACCTAGTAATACTCTTTTGATTATACTGGTAAACATTTGAATTGTGAAAGTATCTTTTAAGAGGGCGTAATCGTTAGCATAAGTAACTTTATAAGATTGCCACCAGTTTTTAATTGTGCCTCTTAATAGGGTTTCACAATAAGTTAATGCTTGTGTTCTATTATCAAATCGGGTTAGAATAGCTATTCTAATACAGTCTTGTTCCCAATCATCGATTACTCCTGCCCAATCTTGAGGATCGTGTCGTGACATGTCTAATATAGTTCATGTGTCGTGTGCTAGGATACTATCGTAACGTTTACGATTTGGTGTCCATGTGTACATGTCTGGTATGTTTTTATTTTCGACATATGTTTCTTGTGTGGGTTATAATCTTTGTCTAGTGCTGTAGTCGTCGTTTGTTGTATTTGTACTACTGGTTGCATTATACATTTCTTGGTCTACTGATCCCTTAGGTTGGGAGGTAGATTCTGCTAGTACTTTTCCTTCTACATGCTCTACTTGTTCTACGACATTTAATTCTTCTTTTAAAATGTTTAGTTCATTTTTTGTGTAGAAAGATTCAAACCCTACTTTTAATATATTTCTCTTGATATCATCGTTATTTCCTTCTCCTAAATAAATGCTTTCTATAAGTTGATAATTTGGCTCAAGATATTTCTCTTTCAAGTCTTCTAGTTCAAGATTGTCAAAATCATACATTATTTTGTCTAGAATTTCATCTTCTAATCTATCATAAAGAACATTTATTTCTTTAGGAGATTCTATTTCTATTAGTGTAGTTAAAAAGTCTTCTTAAGTATTGCCAACTAAATTATCTTGTCTTTTATAATTACTAAACCTTATACTAACTTCTCCACTAATTTTTACATAGATCATATTACTTTCGGGGACCTTTTTAGTTGTAGTAATAAGATTAGGTAATTTTCATTCTGTTCCTTCATGAGTAATACTGCTTACTTTTCTAGCTTCTATCATCTGGACATATTTGCTACTAAAAAGTTTAACTATTTCACTGAATTGAGCTTTAAACCTTTAGTTATATTGATTAACTGCATGTCCTATAAATAAAGTATTAACTAATAGGTTTTCAAATTGTCCTATCATAATGTATCCTTTTATGGATATAGCTATCTTAACATGTTTATTGAATTCTCTAGTGATCATTGTGTAATTGTGGATACATCCTACAATCGCTGCGTTAGCTACTAGATCTATTTCAGTGCTGGCTATTTGTGCTTATTGATGATTATTCCATCGATCATCATAAATATAAGCAAGTGCTCTAGTTCCTACTTCTGCTTTATCTAATCCTACTAATCCTATCATTATTACACCTAAATGTATAAGTTTTAAATTATTTTTATTTAACTCTTGACAAGCCTCTGGTGTTATAAGGTCTAAGATAACTTGATTATTTACTGCATTTATTCTTCTCTAGGTAAGATGATTATATATCTTGTTTTAGAAATCTAGTAAATTATTGGAATAAAGGTTGACTTTATTAGATACCTTCTTCAGTCATTATTCTATATATTTTTTAGCATCATGCTCATTATCATATAGATCTTCTACTCTCATAATTTCTATGGCTTTTCTAAGGATAATGGCCATTGTCTATATGGTTGTAATAAATTTACATGCTTGGTGGTTGTAGGTGAGAACGGATTAGTTGATAATTTTAGTTCCTTTATTTTATCTGATAACTCAGATAATTCTTTAGAAGATTCTCTAAGAATACTTTCTTGTATTACTTCTAATTTGTCTTCAAGTTTACTAACTTTGGATATCAATTTTAAGATATTTTAAATGGTCTATAATAATTTTTTGATTTTCAGAAATATTTTTAATTTCCCTGTTTATATTTTGATGGCGACTAATATTATTTTGTTATCTAAATTATTTCGACTAGAATTTTGTGCTACTTGGTTTTTATATAGTCAAGATTTTCTCCTAATTGTTTTATATATAGTCAAGATTTTCTCCTAATTGTTTTATAGAGTTATCTAATTTATTAAATTCTATTATACTCATAAACCTAGGTAAAATCTTTGCCGTCTAGCTTTGAGAATATTCTGTATTAGAATAATTTTAGATCTAAGTTCTTCTATTCTTCGTTGTAGGCTACGCGTTATGTTTCCTAATTCTAATAAGATGTAGCAATTCCTAAGTATTATTTGACAAAATTCTAAAATTTCTACAAGTTATTATTTGGGTAAGTTGTTCATAAAATAAACTTTAGGCATGCAAATATAATTTTAGCTTTTAAATGGGATTGTCACCACTTTTAGTTCATGAAATAGTAAATATACAAACTACATCACCATTTAGTAATATAGTTTTGTTACCACCACTTATATGTAAAAGTCCCTGTATAAAAAGCTGATTGTGATGAAGATTACTCGCTAGAGCATAGATGGTGGATAAAGCGAGTATTATATATCAAATGGTCACCCTCAATGTCACTCCTTAGTGAGTAGATTGCATCTCGTGACATTTGACTGAGAATTAAGAGACTAGTAAAATATTTAGATAGATCAATAATAGAAAACATGACAACAAAATTATTAGCATCGAGAATATTTTTTTTAAAAAAGTGGAATATTAATTTGTCGGTGATACTATACTATCGATACTGCTCAAACATTAAAGTATTTTGTTAATAAATATTTTATGATAAATATACGTACATAGGATCAAACATTGTGAGAAGGAATTAGAAACAAAAATTATGACACACCATTGATTACAAGAAATTAATTAGCATAATTAACGAAAAAAAAACATGCTAATTGGCTTGAGATTGTCGGCTTTTGATGTTCATATTTTTAAAAATTACAATGAATTATGGTATGATCATGCACCGTGCTTCTGGTATTTTTATCTAGGTGCGACTGTGCGAAATTAGTGGTACTACATAATATGTAGGCTAGGACCAGCTTGTGTTTTGTATGTGGGGTCACATGACCATTTTTTTAGCATCTAAAAGTAGGGCTATGAAGAGGAAAGGCCAAAAAAAATTTGCCTCTATTTTTAGTTTATGACCAAGCTAGTGTACCCTCGAAGCACTCGACGAGCAAAAACAAATTTGTGAGATGTAGGACCACTAGCTTGTGGATAATTGTAAACTGTTTCGACAGTTGAAAGGTTAAACTGATTGACACATTTTAAAAAATATATATATATTTAACGAATTTGTTTTGATGAAAAAAAGATTTATTTTCAATCGAAATTCGGCCAACTATTAATACGGGTGACATACATTTTTGTTTGTTGTTGCGAAATTCAATCAGTGTCCCAAAACTGCATCGTTTTAGTCCCATAGAAAAACTGTTGAATATATGACAGCCGATCGACATCACTACAAGGACAAAATCATTCATTCATTATCCGTGTGAATGTTTATAGTTCCCATTTTGTCAAAGAATGTATTCAAAATTGTAGTAGATGATTGCCATATATATATTCTTGGTCAATAAAACTTTATTGGAAAAAAAAAAATACATAAGAACTATATAATTAACCACCAATATAAATCTAGGTTTTTTTTTTTGAAATTGGGTTTGAAGAATCTCACAAAAAAGGACCAGGATTATCTCTTTGTTCCTCTTTTTGTCCCACGGTCATTATTATGTGCATTTAAATCAATTCCATACTAATTTTAAATCGCTAATGCAATAACTTGAAATTTACAACTAATAACTACTACATAAAGGTGTTGATTTCTCGCTTTAATGGTTTTGACATTGTTATTATATTAGTGTTGTATATGTGAGGCATTATAATGTAGCTAGTGTCGTAATGCTGATTTAATAGTGATGGGTGAGAAATTAGAGAAGATCTGGATCCCACAAACAAAACGATAGCCATATTAAATATTATGGAACTAAATAGATGATTTTCTGGAAGTCAATGTCAATCAATTAGTTATGGAAGCTTTTTCTTTCTAGTAAAAATTGAATAATCTTTCATTTCCTTCTTTTTGCATGTGAGGATGCACTAATATTTCATGTACCACGTGCACTGGAATATGTTTGTGCTACAAAATGACAAGGACTTCCTTCCAATGGTCACTGCCGATCATGAATTGTCTTAAAATCTGTAATTACATGGTTTCTAAAACAGTTTTAAACCTTTAACATATAACTTTTGTAGTTTTTTTTTTTATAAAAAAAAAACCCTTTCAACCTCGTAAGCTTGTAATAGAAACACTTTTAAATCACATATATCATTTAACACGCTATAAATCACAAATATAATTTAAATCCAAATGTTTTTGTGCCAAAGGACGTCCCAATGTATATATACGGTTTGTATTATGAACAAATAATGTCAAATGTTAAACTTGTATTTATTTAGTGTATCACACTCCATTAAAAAAATATCAAAGGTTAGGTTTGTATCGAGTAGTAGCTAACACATTGGGTGACGATTTGTTTCTTATTTAGAAAATTTCTTTCAAATTTCTTTCGTTCAGAATTTATAAATAAATAAACTCCAAGTATTGATTTTTCATTTCATATAGCAATTATACGAGTAAAACATATTCATATCTTACAAAACGGTTACAACTTTATTTCCATCATGTGTGAACATGATATGTAAGAGCCAAATCGCTTGAATATTTTACACTTGTGCAAGCTTAATTATTTAATAGCATCAAAACACAACCACACTAAAACAGAGGAAATTAACGAGATGTTATCACGCACACACGCACTTAACTTGCAGTAGAAATTTATAGCAGAGTGAGGATCGAAAGTGGAAGTGTTTTCTATTCGCATTTGAAGCCTTCTGGAACCTTCTTTTCGCAGACATTAAGAAGCAAGCTGATGGAGAGAGGGACATTGAGGTTGATGCCCAGAACATTTGCTTTAATGGCAGTGCAGAGGCAAACCGCGGCCTCGAGGTCGGTGAGGCCTTGGATGAGGCTGCAGCATGGAGTCTTTGGAGGGGTACCCACAATAGCCCCAAGCAACCCGCTCAGTAAATTGGCACAGACACCTAATTTCAGGGTATCTCTAGGGCAGGTGCTTGGCTTTGGCGGACTTGGACTGGGCTTTGGGGGACTTGGCTTTGGCGGACTTGGACTTGGCTTTGGCGGACTTGGACTTGGACTTGGCTTTGGCTTTGGCTTTGGCGGACTTGGACTTGGCTTTGGCTTTGGCGGACTTGGACTTGGCTTCGGCTTCGGCTTCGGCTTTGGCTTAGGGTTAGGAGAAGGGCAAGTGCCGCATGAACTAACAATGACAAAGAAGAGAAGGTTGAGTGAGAGAAAGAGAGCAAGTGATGCATTGCTTTTGGAAACCATCTCTTAAAGGACCAATATTGAGAGAGAAGTTGAATTTGGGCATGGAAGATGTGTAGTGTGGGTGAGTTTTTATAGGGTCTCAAGGAGGGTCTAATCAGAGAAAAGTGAAAACATATATACATTACCAGTATTTTACAGGCTGATATTCCCGCCTTATGTATACTCAATACTTTTTCTTAAAAATACTCCAATTCTTGTATATAAAAGTAAATTAAAAGTTTTCACAGCTATTCATTGACCTACTTATAAGCAGTTAAGTCACATAAAACAGGAGCGGGATCGCGTAAGAGCAGCAGAATTAAGTCATAAATAATAAGAATTTGAGCGAGAGTGTAAGCGGAGCGTGAAAACAGGAGAGCGTAAGAGCGACACCTGTTGAGAAAGACTGTGTGACTTAGATAAATAGCCTACCAAACACAGGCGGCCCATCATTTTATAGCCAATGCATTAATAATTGTAAATATTTTTCTGGCAATAATTGATACTGATTTGGCAATTGAAATATCCTAAAAGAATAAATCAAGAAGCACAGCTGCTTGGGCCCGTATGATGGATGAAGCCACCTTCTGTGCCTATGGAGTTGAGTCGATTTTGGCTAAAAAACATACACACACACACGATTCTTAAACCCAAAGAAGGCCAATTGCTAAGGATCTCACTTGCAGGCAATCAAATGAATTTGTCAATTTGTGTATCATAGTAATTTCCTAAATCAAAACCGTAAGGCTTACATGGCCTTTTATAATCACAACCTGGAATGTTGATTATCATTCAGTTTTTGTAATTTAACAATAGAATAAGAATTATTATTTCATTTAATTTTATCTTTTTATTTTTATTTTCATTTCATTTCATCCCTGCTAAATCTATATGTGATCTTGGTATTTGAATTAGCTGGCAACACAATCACATGACCAAAATTTTAGATTGCAAGATGGGGAAGGCAAACTGCCATGTTACTTTTGTAGCATAGTTCTGTAAATTTGTAGTCAACAGGAATTTTGATCCATAACAGTTGGCGTTACATTCGGCCAGAAATAGCAAGCTATTTATAACAATCAAGAAAACCACTGATTGAAAACATATTTTTTTATAACTGAATTTTCAAAAAGTAGTTCTAAGAAATGTACTGTCAACTAACTAGAATGCATGGTTTTTTTTTTTTTTTGTTTTCCACAATTTTTTGAATAACTGAAAACCAGATAACTAAACTAAACAGTAAACACTTAACAAAGCAGCCCTAACTTTGTACCCGAGAAAGTTACGGGACTTAGTAGGGTAAGTATAGAAAGCTTTAAATGAGCTCTACAGCATACACAATAATTTATTTATGAGATTGGAGTTCTTTTCGGATCCAAAATTATGCCATTTTTGAGAGAGTTCTAGTGGATTTAAATATATTTTTTTTCTCTTCTTTTCTTAGTTCTCTAATTTCACAAAGATTTTAGTTTAGGGAATTTTTGTGGGGCCATTTGATTTTGTGATCCTAGTTTCGGGTCATGTGTCTTTTCATTAATGAACATTCGTGTTTCTCTGTCAACCCTATTTTACGCACTTTAAAGTTTAATTATGATACAAATCTTCTTTAGGACACTTGATCTTTGTCGTATTTTCATGCATCTACTGATATTAATCAAGAATATATGGCCATGTTCTCTTTCTTTTGATCTCATTTTTTCGACAATTAATCTGTATTTTCCAGTTCAATTATCTTTTTTTCACTGCAATTAATCATAGTTGCAAGATTTCCACACAATTAATTTTTTTGTTATGACGATAAAACAAGAAGATAATTCTCTAGTTGTGAATTGTAAAAGTGGTTAATATGTGACTAAACTTAAGACTATGCATCCGTGCATGCATCTGAATCAAAAATGGAGTTGAAAATTGAGAGTTACCTAGCAGCCAAATGAGTTGACTCTTCGTGGAATACAAAGAAAATTTTGATCGAACAAGCACGCAAATAATCTTCTATCTTGGCATCTTATATGCATGCAAGATACAAGTTGCTTGCTTGATTAAGTGTCGGTTGAATGCAAATCATCAAAGAGTTAAAAGAAATAACTATCTACCAACAGGCCTGTGGCCTAGCAATACAAAGTCTCTACTTTTCAAAGGAAGGTTAGGGGTTCGAACCTTAGTGAATGCAGTGTGTATGAGTACCAACTAGAAAAAAATAAATAAATAAATAAATAAAATAAAATACTAAGGGATGATTTGATTAAACTTAAATGATGTACATAATTTATGGATGAGTGCATACATTCAAAATTCGCAAATCATCAAAGAGTTAAAAGAAGCGATTAGCTAGTGGTTGAGTTGATTCTTCTTCAAATACAAAAACAAATTGATAAATTATCTTTTATCTTGGCATCTTTTGCATGCAGGATCTATATAGCAAGTTGGTTGGTTGATAAAGTGTCGGTTGAATGCAAATCATCAAAGAGTTGAAAGAAACGACTAGCTAACGAATGAATTGATTCTTCACAAAATACAAATAAAATTTTGATCGAACAAGAGCGTAAATTATCTTCTATATATCTTGGCTTCTTATGCATGCTTGATTGATGGAGTGTCATGGGAAACCGATTAAACTTGAATGATGTACATAATTTACGGGTGAGTGCATGCATTTAAAATTCGCATATCATCAGAGTTAAAAGAAACGATTAGCTAGCGGATGAGTTGATTGTTCTTCAAATACAAAAATAAATTGATAAATTGTCTTTTATCTTGGCATCTTTTGCATGCAAGATCTATATCAAGTTGGTTGGTTAGTGTCGGTTGAATGCAAATCATCAAAGAGTTGAAATAAACGACTAAGCTAACGGATGAGTTGATTTTTCGAAAAATACAAATAAAATTTTGATCGAACAAGAGCATAAATTATCTTCTATATATATCTTGGCTTCTTATGCATGCGGTATGCATGGCAAGTTGCTTGCTTGATGGAGTGTCATGGGAAACCGATTAAATTTAAATGATGTACATAATTTACGGGTGAGTGTGTACTTTCAAAATTTGCAAATCATCGAAGAGTTGAAAGAAACGACTAGCTAGCGGATGAGTTGATTCTTCCTCAAATACAAAAACAAATTGATAAATGGGTAAAGTACAGTCATACCCCCTAAGGTTTGACAAAAGGACACTCAGATGAAAGTTACTTTTTTTTTTAGACAAAGACACCCCCTGAAGGTTCAAAGATAGACAAAGATACCTCTTTACATGAAAAATTGACCAAATTACCCTTTAACCGTTTAAGAGACTTTTTTAACTTTACAATTTAATAAATTGGACCAATCTACCCTCATGAACAATTTATGCATACAAAAAAAGTAACACAAAACAAAACAAAACAAAAAAAGAACTTTATATTGTTCATTTTTTTTTTTTTTTTTTGTTATTTACTTTATAAATGTCCCAACTTTAAAAAATATAGACATCTAAAATGATTTTTTGATCCAATACATATATTTCAAATAAATTATATTTTGTTATTACTTCTTTTCTTTTTCTTTTTTATTTTTAAATTAAGATGCTTAATTCTTTCATCTAAAAAAATTAAACCAATCTTTTTTCCTTAAAAATAAAAAATATGGTACCAGTATAACTTTATGCATCTTAAATTATATATCAAATACTATGCATTTCCCAACATAAAAGGGAAAAAAAAAAAAAAAAAAAAAAAAAAAAAAAAAAAACAAAGGCATACATAAAGTTATACTAGTACCTATTTTCTTTTATATTAGAAAATGCATAATATTTTATATATAATTTAAGATGCATAAAGTTATACTAGTACCATATTTTTTATTTTTAAGAAAAAGAGTTTGGTTTAATTTTTTTAGAGAAAAGAATTAAGCATCTTAATTTAAAAGTAAAAAAGAAAAAGAAAAGAAGTAATAACAAAATATAATTTATTTGAAATATATGTATTAAATCAAAAAATCATTTTAGACGTCTACACTTTTAAGAAGTTAGGACATTTATAAAGTAAATAACCAAAAAAAAAAAAAAAAAAAAAAAAAAAAAAAAAAAAAAAAAAAAATGAAGTGAACAATATAAAGTTGTTTTTTACTTTTTTTTTATGCATACATTATTCATGTGGGTAAATTGATCCAATTTATTAAATTGTAAAGTTAAAAAAGTCTCTTAAATGGTAAAAGGGTAATGTGGTCAATTTTTCATATAAAGGGGTTTCTTTGTCCATTTTTGAACCTTTAGAGAGTATCTTTGTCCAAAAAACAGGTAAATTTTATCCTAGTATCCTTTTACCAAATCTCACGGACATGGCTGTACCCTTAATAAATTTATCTTTTATCTTGGCATCTTTTGCATGGAGGATCTATAGCAAGTTGGTTGGTTGGTTGATGGGATTGAGTGTCACGGACAACCCTAGAACCAATCATGGGATCCACCATTTATGTCTAATGAAATCGTGTTTGGCCAAAAATATTCCATGTCAATTGTTGTCTCTCTAATCATGCATATTTTTCTTGTATTCACACTATATACTCGTTGTTTATTCGAACCGTGTGGAGCCATTTTGATACAAAGTCCATTGTATTGATTGATATGTATGTCATTGTCTTTCTGTATAAGCTAGACGTCGGCACAAATGATGGCCAATTAGGCCATATATAGTTATCCAATGTCTCAATTGAATTGAAATTAGGGCAAATCGAAAGAGACAACCCACATGCCTATTATTTTTGTGAAGCCAGTGTTCTTGAATGAAATGAATTCACAGTGGACTTGTTTTTTCGAAAAATGAGAGTGGACTTGTTTGGTATCATTTATTTATTTATTTTCAATAATGGGGTGTATGATTCTTTGTGTCGACTAATTCACAAGACCCATGCAAAACATCTCCTTTCCCACGGATCGATTAAAGTTCGAACCATATCCGTAAACGTAGCTCTGAAGGAATTATTTACAACTAGAAGAAATATATTGACTTCATGAAGTATCAGAATCTAAATCTTTCTTTTACATCAACACTATGCTTAAAATAGGTGATGGATATTTATTTATTTATTTTACAGCTAGTTTTTACA